TATTGCGAGTTGTTGCGTTGAGCTGGGCAAAACAGTGTTTGAGAGGAACCCAAATTTCTCGATTTGTGCCAGATGGCAAGAAAGTTTGGAGCTTTTGTCCACGGAATGCGTAATTCTTGACCTTCTCAGTTCTTCGTCTGCACTCAAGTCCCCGTCCGATGATTGTTTGGACCTGCTAGCGGGAAGCTCTCTAGCGCTTACAGGAGATTGAGAGGATTGTCAGCCACGCCTGGATTGGGGACCAATCACAACGCCTCGTAATCTCCCTTGGGCTCCTTTGTCTTCCTTCGTCCTGGCTTGCTTGGCTCTTCAATCTCACATGTCTGTGAGTCTGGCTTGACCTCATGTGCATAAGCCACGAGTTTTGGTTTGCTGCGCACGTGGCAGATAGGTAACCGATATTAAATTGCACTGGGAGGAACGATCGTTTGTCACGATGATCGATGCGCCTTATGATCACTAAAGTGCGTACCATTGAATCGCGGCGACGACCCTCGGAAGTTCCAAATGTGGACGAGGAGTGACGATTGGGGCAAGGCCAACTAGCCAAAGGTCTGTTCCGTCACTACAAATATAAGCTCCTGAGCCCCAAATTAGCATGTTTGCGGTTCAACAGCCGCACTGGATTCTGATGTAGACCCCGGATATCTAGTCCGTATAAGCTATCTGAATGTAAAGCTTTCATTCTAGATGTCTTGCTCGTAGTATACAACAACACGTAAGCTGTAACATTGTCGTGTATTCACATGAGAGCGAGGTGCTGAGTTTCCTGTCTTAAACCTTACTATTCACTCCTGAACACAGTTTCGAACCGCGCAGTCTTAAGCAAGAAGCCCATAACGTACTTGTTGGGCTTCATACATGTGTCGTAGAGACATCTTTCAGCGTTCTGGTCGTGGGCGGAGCATCTCCGTTATCCTTGGCCGGCTTGATCTCCTTTTCTTTTGCAATCCATTCCTTCCAGTCATGCACCTCATTCATGTCCTTATACTGAACAGGAGGGTTTTCTTCCTTCGGCGCCTCCTCGCCTCCCGAGTCTTTACCCTTACATTGCTCAGAACCCTTGCATCCACAGATACCCTCGCAGACAGGCTCCATCATGCCCTCGGGTATCAGCTTCGAGATGAAGGGTATCTTGAACCCAACGCACTTCTTGAAGCATTCCCCATGACTCCTGTGACCCTTGTGGCCCTCATGCTCCTTTTGACCTCCATGACCTTCCGCTGAGGATGCCCGTGTCCCGTTTGTCTCTGCTAAGCTTCTAGGCGACTTTTTGGGAGGCAGATGCTTGTCGAGATGTTTCTTGCAGTGCTGCCAATTTGGCGCTTGATTGCCCTTGGTGTCTTTCCCCCCCAGATGTGCGGGATGCTTCATCTTATGATGTGATGACTTTGTTTCGTGATGGTGTTTCATAGAACAGAACGATTGTTCCCAGGGCGCGAGGTTGCCTTTCTCGCCATCTTGGCCATGGTCTCGATCGCCCCCTGTAGGCGGCGGAACGTTGGTGACGTTGAATGATGTGGGCGTCTGGACGGAGGCTGTGGCAACGGCTGTCTTGGTGGGAATGGCGATGGCTGCTGATGAGGCCAGGAAGAACGCCAGACAAAGAATTGTAGCCTTCATCATGGTAAGCAATCAAGGAGTATAAATATATACAGAGAATGAGTAGGCAGAGCTTACATGAACGAGCAGCTAGGCACCGAGTGCTTTCTCTTATATCTCTTTGGATTCAATATCATTATTTACATGCTCCAGACAAAGGCTACCTTGATCCGAACCTTCTCATCAGAGGAATTTTGTGCCTGAATGTAAGCTTCATTAAAGTTCCCTGAGCCATGCGCATTCGTAAGACAAGTGAAGCAAGGTTCAGTGCCTGTGTCTACACTCATCGGATCCTGCCGTATGCACATCTTTGAAAAATCGGGTGAGAGGTAACGGAGTAGGTATTCGGCTCAAGTCGGCCGTTCTGGATGTCTATTAGGAGGGCTGTCAATTCAGTTGACATGGGATGTTTTAGCGTTCCGTGTTCGCTGACTCAGGACCTGCAGAGCTTCTGTGACTTCGTAAGAAACTGGAGAATACAGCTTCTCTTCCTCGTGTCCGTAATTTACAAGCCAGTGGAAGTGCAGCGTTTAAGAGACGGCTGTGGATTCCACCGTTGTTGCATTGCTGTACGTGGATTCACCTTGAACCCTCGGGTATCCAGTATGAGGGCGCCTATGCTCTGGAGTCGATTCAACGACCGACGTCTCTATCGTACACCTTTATCATGATCACAAGCCGTAACAGCGAGATCCTACAATCGCCTCATCTTGAACACACATGACTCCTAGCAACTCACTTCTCTTCCTCGCCTTCACCTTCACCTTCACCCATCTCCTCGTCATCATCTTCGCCTTCTTCCCCGGCATCGTCATCTTCATCATCATCATCGTCGTCGTCGTCATCATCGTCGCTCGACCCAGAGCCCTCGCTTTCTCCCTCGCTGCCAGGGTCATAGTCTTCTTCGTCTTCATCTTCATCCTCCTGGAGCGCCTGCTCAGCCTCAAGATGAGCCTTCTCGAGCTCCGTCATGCCGTTTGCTTCCGCGTCTCCATTGGCATCAGCGTCGGCGTTTGCACCCTTCTTCTTCAGGTTCTCAGTCAGCTCCATCTTCGCCTTCCTCTGCTCCGCCATACTGCGGTCCTGCAGTCCGTGGCGCTTGACATAGGACTCGTCGATGCCGCCGTAGTCTTCCTGGTCCAACATGCCGAACTCAATCTCCTCGGTGGCGTCACCCTCGGTGAACACCTCCACCACGATGTTGAATGTACGCTGCAGAACGCTTGTGTAGCTCATGGCCACAATGCGGTCGACGGGCAGAAATACTAGAGGCTTTTTGAAGCCGTAGAGAATGCCATTGGGAAGGAAGAAGAGGTATCCGTCTTTGGAGCCGCGGAAGGCCTTGACGTGTACCGCCTTCTCATTCGGTCTGTGCGGCTGGCGGACGAGGCTGTGGAAGATGTTGGGATCGGCTGCGACGATTTCGGCAGGATTGCCAGCGGAGCTGAGGTGTGTCGTCAACGCCCAATCAAAGAGGCCACGGTAGGTGTCGGAGACTGCTGATGCAGCGTTCGCTTTCGGGCCTTCGATGGTGCCGGGCTTGGGGGCTGTGGCAGGCACTGTGAATACCAGAGCTTCCTTCTCGGGCGAGGTTTTCGTCGGGAGGCATGTTCCACGGGGAAACAGGACGTAGTTGTGCTGCACCTGAGTCTTCTCGGGTACGGGGAGGCAGAAGAGGTACTCTGAAGCGCAAGTTAACTTGGCTGGGATGTTAGGTTCCTGTGCGGTTGGAGACGTACCAATGTCATCCCAAGCGTAGATGATGCCCTCGACGGGTGCAGTGGTATTCGGTAACCGCGCGTAAAAGAAGTTCGCCGTGAAGCAGAGCTCGTACTTCTTGCGCTGGGGCACGGAGACGGAAATCTCCTTAATCACAAGGAGAACCTCTTCATCGGTAGCGTTTCCGGTTCCGATGCTTTTCGGTGCAGGCTTTGCAGCCACCCCGTTTGTGTTAGACGCCTTGAAACCGTTCGTAGGGCCTTCTTCTATCCGTCTGCGTTTTGATGCCGGTTCGGGTCCGTTGATCTGCTCGTGAACGAAACTCGCGATATTGTTGAACAATGCGACTCGATCGGGTGTGTCTGAGTAGTCGAGAATCAGCATTTGAAACTGCAAGAAAAGAAAACTGCGCAATTGGAACGGAGGGTAGTACTGGCTGCCTTTTGAATGCCCTGCAAGATGTCGGGTCGCGACTGGAAGACGGCTTCCAGCCGCTGGCTGTCGAGGCCGGCAACCATTTTTTGGTGAAATATTTGTTTTCCGTCCCAGAAATTCGGTGTCTTCTTGATGATGGGTTCGATGAAATTAACGAGATGGCGGCTGATTCGAAATGTCTGGGTAGAGGAAAGCGTCCCTTTGAATGTAGTGAAGTTTCCGGATTGTTTTCTCTGTCTCGACGCGACGTCGATAAAAAATTATGTGATGTGACGTGTTGAAGCTGGCGGCTGTTTGCTGAAGCGGCTGTTCCTGGTGCACTGCGGCACGGACTTACATAATGCGGCGGTAACAGGCCTATAGCAATTTGTACGGCGAACACTCGGGGCGGGCAGCGCCCCTTTTCTTACGAGGGGCCACTGATTCAGTCGAGTCTTCAAGGTTCCAAGGAGACAAAAGCGATGGCAATACTCGGCATTTACGGCCCTAATTGTCAAACACCTCGAGCCCTGTGGACCATGGTACTCTGATAGTTCAGCATAGGTATGTTTGGTCATCCCAATATTTCTCCAATATCTACAATTTCCAATGTATGGTGGTCGTTTCTCATTGCCAATTCCATGCTTCCGACCACCACAACAGCAGTTGCCCAAGAACCTTACATCATTGTTGTTATTTCCAGTATCCTTACTTCGCCAGCTGGATATAGGTGTGAGACATATTCCACATTAGCTTGAGGGAAAAAGCAAAGCAAGTTGGTAATACTGCGTAGAGGAGCTCGTTCATAATAGCATAGGTATTTGATCATCAGAAGTTAAGTCGCAGTGAAGGGAGAAAAAAAATACAGGTGCGAGGTCAGCCTTGTCTTATCTTTTTCCTTATCGCCAGCTAAGGGAGCTTGGACCATCCTTGGGGGACTTGCATTCCCCTGGCTGCCCCTGAAAGATGCGACGTCACAGTGGAGGATGCGCCCAAGGCCCCAAATGCAGTGGCACTGATTCGGCGCGCATCTTGACCCCGCGGTTTCCACTCGTCTGCTGTCACCAGCCGAACAGCACATTAGGTAAGTCACTGCCGGGTGCCCCACAGCTTCCTTTCCTCGGAGGTCAGGCAACATCACGGACTTTGCACCTCCAACCTCGAGTCTTGCTAACGCCAGTTCCGCCCATGGGGTAGGCTTTGGATACCGAGCCTTCAACAGCGCCCTAATCTTCCCAAATAATCATACACTGCTGAGCGATACCATGTCATTCTCCAATATCTACACTCACCGCAAGGTCGCGGAAACGGCGGCCAAGGGCTGCGATGTCTGCTACCGTGCCACAAGTAGCGTCCTGGTCGCTCCCGAAAATAAGGTAAAGCCCATAGTTTCTTCCCTGAAATGCGCAGCTAACTCGATCTTTAGGACTTTTTCTACGTTTGCCCCAGTCATCTGAAAGACAAGAACTTCTGCTCACCTATCATCGACAAAGAGGCCGTTGAAGCGAAGAAGAAGAAGGCTCTCGAGGACGAGGTTGCGCGTGTGAAGAAGGAGTACGAAGACAAACAAAAGAAGAAGAAGGATAAAGAAGAGAAGGACAAGGAGAAAGAGAAAGACAAAGACAAGGAGAAAGAGAAAGACAAGGACGACAAAAAGACAGAGGACGAGAAGAAGGAAGACAGCGTCAAGGCAAGCTCTTTGATATCCCGCTTGTTGCTTCTTGAGTCTATCGGAAGACTGGTTTTGTGGGATATCGGCTAACAAACTTCAAGAACGGCACCGAAACGCCATCTCCAGCCGCGGAAGAGGAGCCACGCGTATTCGCACTTCAAAAGTATGAGCTCTTTTGGCGTGCTATATGAACGAAGTTGGCTTCAGCTAACACGGCTTAGGAACTTCTTCGGAGCCCGACTTGAGAAGAAGCGACAAATGGAGATCGCAAAGAGGAACCGGGAACGTCTTCAGCAACCAAACCTATTTCCATCAGTTCCGAAAGGCATGCCGGGTAGTTGAGAGATATTCACCACCGAAGCCCGAAAGACGGGACCGCAGTACAAGCACAATCGCCGGTTCCGCAGCCATTTCATGACCGTCAGCCCACTCGGAGCACATGATTCTCCATGCCACCACCCGGACCAGCCTGTCCTCATATACCGACTCGTCTGTATATACCCCCAAGTCAAGATGGTACCCATTACTAGGACAGGGATTCTAAAGCAATTTCTGTCCTAATCAGTCCTGCTGCATTAGCTCTCTCTATCTGGAGTCGGCGCCGGCTGTCATCCTTTCTCGTGGGGACAACGCTTCGAGGTTGCATTCCACTAGGGGAAAAGACATCATTGTCCAAGGAACAGCTCGTCATTGGTTCATTTACGTCTCTTTGGTTGCGACTTGGTTTACCTATATGCAGGTAAGACGACTGTAGTGGCCTTGGTGGGCCGGCGAGTTGCTGGGGAACCACAAGCTGCCGTGGAGGGCATTTCCGTCAGTATCCTTGGCGGCGATCATGGGCGTGTAACTATGAGACCTGGCAACTTCTCACTGGCCAAGCCAAGGATTACTCCAGAGATCCAGAGCTTCGATCTGGCGCGGAAGATCATAGCGGCTGTTTGCCGAAGGACTAGGGACTTCCGAGGGAGAAAACCTACGATGATTCGGTTTACCCCGCTAACCTCGATGCTCGAAGGATGCACAACTGGGGTCAATTGGGTAGATTTATGTTGTTTGGGCCCTTGCTGTCGGGTCGACGAAGGAAGCCGGCGATAGGATCACGCGGACGACTAAAGGCCGAAGATGCCGCCCCACGGCGATGGAACCCTCTATGTTGCCAACAGCACAATTTGATCATATATACTCCACTGATTTCCTCTTGGCCATCTCAATGCAGTGCATACTGCGAATCTCTATACGCCCTGATTCGTTCGAGGCCCGAGGAGAGGGGGACACACGCAAAGTTTGCCCGGCAGCGTAAGCCATGACGCATGTCAGCACTAGGCCTGACAAGGCACTTGAGTGGCGTGAAGGAGACAGCTGGAGTTCCATGAAGCAGCAAGCGAGGATGGCACAGGCCGCCCCAACCTGCAGGAAATGGTGTTGATGGTGGTATCTTCCCGAGACACTACTGGGAGACTGGGAATGTATGCTGCCGAGACGTTCGTCGTAGTCCACAAGGCCAAAGAAACACCCCCAACATCCTACAGTAGACGGTAGGCGGCATGCATCTCCGTCCAAGAGAAGATTAGGGCTGACACGGACTGCTGGATCCGCGTGCTACCCGATGTCAATCGGATGGCGATCAATCGACACGCCTTGGTGAGCACTGCTGCGAAGAGTTCCTGTTTTAGAAGTCTCTCCCGAGCGTTTGGTGCATAACGTAGCTAGCGCTTAATACGTCTGCTAAATCCCTCCTACAACTTACTTCTTCATGATTCGAGAAGCCGTAGCTTAGCTTCTACCCAACAGGCGAATTAACAGTTCATGAATATTGAAGGGTGTGATGAGGCTCCTACATGGCCAATTCTGCCTCTCAAGCTGGGCGTGGCTTACACTACTCCAGCCCCTCCATATTACCGGTACTTCCCAGCCTACAACCTGCTTATGAGGTTCCAGTCATCTCTCCGTAAATCCTCGGGGCATGGAGAAATGGATCCCTGCAATTTGCAAAGCCATGGCAACGGTAAGTGCCGCAAGTGAGCATGTACAGGATCAAGGCAATTTGCTTATTCGGGCAATACGAAACGGGGAGGGCCCAAAGCCCGCTCAAACCAACGTCGAGTTGTCGACTAGTGCTTTCTGCCTCGGGCGGCCGCCACAGACATGCATACGCACGCTGACATCGGCAAGGGGCAGCGGGCGTAGGCTCATACGAAGGCATTAATGCTGCAGACGAAGATAGAGGCGGGACTCTCCAGGGTGCATGTAGGCACCGTAAGTACATGTATGCTAACTGCATGGTTGCAGAAAGCCTTCTGGTTTGAGCCCCCTGATTCAGGCCTTGGCTACAGGGCAGCAAATATGCCAGGCTGCGTGAGATGCACAGCTACAGTGACAGTTCCGATGCTGTGTCTCTATTTGGCGCTCTCGCGGTGCCGAACTTTGTTGATTGATCCTAACTCGAGGCAAATCAGATAGGCATATCTAGTGGCCCTGGCGTAATCACTATCGTCAGAATTACGGTACGCCTCGCACGAAGCTCAAGCCTTCGGTCCCTCATAACTCGAAACCGCTACTTAACTGGGCAAAAATCCAAAATCTGCCCTGGTCGAGCGGTCAGCAAAGGCTTGATGGGACTTTGGGAGCACTTGTCAGTCCGGCTCTCTGAGCCTCTGTCGGGTACAATCAGCCTAGCTCAACCACCGGTCCTGCAAGCGGCACTTGTTGCTGATCTATGGACTAGTCAGGCCAACCACCTTGAACAGTGCCAGCCTTACGGCTATGTGGTGGTCTAGACATGGGGACATAGAGTCTTGGTTTGCTGGAAGCCTCGCGTGGCTTTTGTTGCCTTTTTAGCTCTGTCACCGAAAAATCCTAGACCGTGGTTGGGTAAGAGCTTGGAGACTGCCTCGAGAAATCCTAGTTCCTGAGCCAAACTAACACCCTCAACGCCTGCCAAGTTTTACAAGACTTTGGCAAGTCGATCACCGTTGGCTTCTCCAGCATAGAGGTGGGCTCTCCTGTGACGCCAAACTTTACATACGAAACCTTCACAACACACCTAGGCGATGCAGCAGACCTACAGGAGGAAGAGTCTTGCCCGTTGCAGGGGGAGGGGGGGGGGGTGAACTGGAGTTGGTGTGAGGCTCACACTCTTTCCCTTCTAAGCTCTATGCCATCCCGTCCACTTCCCGTACCCAGCTGAGATAGAAGTTGCGCAACAGATCATAGCTCTTACATGGGATTGACGAAGATTGCATCCGGACGAGGGAGGGGGTGAGCCAATCGCGATCCTTCACGCCACAGGCGTGTCTACAGTCGCGAAGCTCGCGCCTCGGTGTCGAGGTAGAGTGCATAGCGCATGGCTCGGAGGGTTGTAAGTGCCATGCAGCATCATAATGGGGGATTGTGAGGAATACAGGGCGCGGAAGAGAAACGAGGGGGCGAGAGGCAAAGGAGGTACGAGTGAACTCTAGCGGTCACTCTGATGCGGGAGTGGGTGCTGATCATTTTGCCTGCCGGAATTTCGGATTTATAGGCTGACCCATCTTTAGCTGTGAGACAGAGATGCTGAATGGTTTTGCTGAAGGTACATAGTGTTTGTACATCGTTTGCCAGTGGGCTGGGAGATGTGATATCTTCACCGAGCTCGTTGTTATCGTTGGTTTTGTGGTTCTTAGTCTCCGTGGAAGATGAATAGTCAGCAGGTCATGATCATCAGACGTTCCACTTCCGTTAAATGTCACATGACTGATGGTTAGTTGAGGTCTTCACCGCCATAGACTTCACATTGTGGTTGACTTTTGTATCCTTGAGAACAACAGCCCCTGTGGCGGTTCTTCATGAAAACCACAAAACATGTCGATAGTTTATCTTGATATCACATTATTGGAGAAGCGAGCTTTCAAACAATTACGCCACTTCTGTGTGATGCCGTTCGAAACTGCTGGGATCCAGACGCCCGCTTTAGCGAGCATCTCTGCTTACGAGTCACTGTGACTCATTGGACGCCTCGGACTTGGCGCTCGGAAGCCATTCAAGTACCTCACAATTCAAGCCAGGATAATCTCGAAACTACACGTAGGCATAGGGAAAAGCTCAAGCTGCGTTTGATACCGGGGATTAGAAACCGGCATTGGTGTAGGCTAGGGCTCTCACGGCGGGTGACAGGGTTACGATGCGATTTCGTTGATTCTAGATTCCACATCTTGTCAGCTTGTCAGCACGATGGCGCCGGGTCTAGGAGAGGAGATAGGCTTGCACACCTACTTCCCCTTCTTTCGATCTGTCGTCACATATTCTGCAAGCCAAGACGGCAGTGGGACTGTGATGGCTTTTCCCTCGCCGTGACTTTGCTGACATGAGAATTCGGCTGTTTCATGATAAGAATGGAGTCATTACGCGGCATGGTATATAGAAGTGCTTGTGAGTGGGCTTGAAACACTGGCGATGGTGTCGCTTTTTGGGGTGCATAGCCTACCATGTACCTCACAGGAGGAGAACCAAGATTGCGTAGTCGATGGAGGGGATATCTTACGTGAGAACTCTATCCATCGCCCGGCTTGTCAGTCAGCCACAAACTTGCCCAGTCTCGCAAGGCACTTGAGCAAGCATCTAGCTCTGCGGGATGTCGATCACAAGACCCAAGCTACCTGTATGGGGGCTTTTTTGTAGAGGCACAGGCATCATGGATGCTGACAGCTTATTTGTGACAGCTCAGGACTCGCTCAATTGATGTGATCGTGACACAATGGTGATGAGGCGTCAAGCTGGGGTTATGACAGCGCAATCCAATCAAGTTTAACTTGTCACACCTCGGTTCTTTGCCTAACAATCGATATCTCTGTTTGGTCAGTATTCCAGGAGTTTGATATCAGTCTTCTTGAAGCCGCGCGCTTCGTTAAAGTGAGATGTGTAGATGATGTGATCACGTTGCCTTGGCCACGTATGGAGAGAGAAATAGCCGTAGCAAGACCAGCTCGGGTGACAAGCATACCGCAAGACCATATCAAAATGGGCAGGTAGGTTATTGAGAGATTTCAAGAACAGATTTCTCATCAAAATATTGAATAATCCTTGGTGTCTAGAGACCAAAGAGATGGGAACCCAGCTAAACGTACTTATTGAGATTGAGCTTTGGGCACTGCCATTGTGAATACAAGATACAAACATGTGCATAACAACTATATGAAAACACTCCATCCACCCTTTTATTCAACTCTCAAGGTAGCCTGAGACTTGAGGTTCCTACTGCTAGAGCCAACGTAAATCGCGTACTCTCCGCTTTCAACCTTCCACTCTTGTCCGACAACATCCCAAACACTCAGATCTCTCCGTCTCAGAGGGAAAGCTACGTCAGCTTTCTCTCCAGGAGGGATCACAGCCTTCTGAAACCCACGCAACTGTCTGACTGGCTCCCCAGCTGCTTCGGGGAAGGAGATGTACATCTGGGCTACTTCGGCGCCTTGCAGAGAACCAGTGTTGGTAATGCTGGTCGAGACAGTTGCCACAATATCCCAGAGATCCTCGCGGCCACCGACTGCCTTGTCTCCAGTCGCGAATCCGCTGGTAAGCTTGGAGGAGGCTTCAACCATGACATCTGAAGAGTATTCGAAAGTGGTATAAGACAAGCCGTATCCGTAGTCGTACCGAGGCGTGATGTTGTACTGGTCAAAGTACTTGTAGTCGATGTAGTTGCCATCCGAATAATCCAAGTTCAACTCCGTCTCACTAATCATCGTATCCGGGTTATAGTCGCTCTCATTCTTAGCAATAGTGTGGACGAGTCTACCAGAAGGGTTGACTGCGCCGAAGAGAACGTCATCAATTGCGTTGCCGGATTCTTGGCCCAGTGCTCCAGCATACAACACACCGGTGACGTTCTCGTGCTCAACCCAGGCATCAACCAAGCGAGGACCAACAGTGTTTATCACCACAATGGTGTTGTTGCAGACGTCGGCGACGGTATTCACGAGCGTGTCTTGGCCGGCATTGGTCAACTCCGTGCGGTCGGCACCCTCGCCGCCCCAGGCATTGAGGAAGACAATGCACGCATCCGAGTCCTCAGCCACTCCAGTGGTGGACTCGGTGAGCTCGGTGCCGGAGCCCTGCATGCCGCTGAAGGACGTCTCGGAGGTATCGTTAAGCCACCAACGAAGCATGAAGCCATCCTTGGCGGCACGTTCGTTGAAGAGCTGAAGCGGCGTGGATAAATATGCCAGCGAACCCATGGCGGATCCTCCGACTACAGCCATGTGGCCTTGCATTGTCGAAGGTTCACCGTCGTAGACGCCAAGAGCGGTGTTTGCGCCCACGTATCGGGGGCCAGCATGGAAACCGAAGATGCTGATGCTCGACTTGTTGACCAGCGGGAGCGCGCCCTTGGTATTCTTGAGTAAGGCAATAGACTCGGCAGCGTATTGTCTCGCCATCGCGCTGTGGTTACCGCGGTTGTCAACGCGGTCCGTTACGCCCGCCAGGCTGGGATATCCGTTATCCTGCCCCAAGTGGAAGTAGCCCATCATGTTGCGAATCACCATGTCGTCGAGTCTTTCAGAGCTGAAGCTGCCGTTGGTGAGGCCCACGCCCAGCGTCTCGTTTGACCAGTAGCTGCTCGAGGCGAGATCCATTCCTGCGTTTGCGGCGTTGATACCCGTCTTCTGCGCGCTAACATCGGCAGACACAATGCCAGGGAACCCGAGCTCAACTTTGAGATACTTGGCGAGGAGGTCTTGGCTCTCGCACGAATATGTTCCGTTAACCTTGTTCATGGCACACATGGCACCACCCATACCATTGTAGACTGTGTCGTAGAAGGGCCAGAGGTAGGTCTCATGGAATGCCTTGTCACCAATAGTAATGGTGTAAGAGCCAGAGTCGTCGGAGGATGTCGTGCCATTCGTTGTAGTGTTTGTCGACGATGTCTGCCGAGCCGTCAAAGTCGAGTTGGTCGATCCACCAGGAGGAGATCCGCCTCCTCCCATGCCGCCACCACCAGAGCCAGTGCTCATGCGATTGGTCTCTTGCTCGTTGAGGATAAAGTGCTTGGCACTAGCTGTCACACCAGCAGATGACATTCCCTTCACGACTGCGCCGGCCATAATTCCAGCCTGATAGCTGTCCACGCCGTACGTCTCGCCAGAACGACCGCACCAAGCCGAGCGTCCGAGAGGTTCCAGTGTAGGTCCGTAGGCCATGTTGATACCCTTTCCCTTGAATTCCTGACCAACGCCATGTCCCTGGCCCTCTGCGGCTGCTGTGTCCCATGTCATAGCCATCGCCAAACCGGCGGGCCATGTCGTGACGTAGAAGTAGGTAAGAGGGTTGGTAGCGGAGTCAAGGTTGTGTAACGCGGTCCAGTTGCCTCCATCACCACCTGCAACGATTGAAATCTTCTTCTTGGTCGTGAGCGTAGATACAAGCGCCGATGCCTTGTCATAGGCATCTTGCCAAGCTCCTAGCTTGACTGTTGACATATTTGTAAGCGTTTGCTCATCATCAAGTAAGGAGGGCACATTCAAGAGACGTACTCGTGCCAGAACTCAGGAGCTGCTCTGTGTAGTTGGCCGAAGCATCTTCGGTCAAGGTGCCAGTCACAAAAGTGAGTATAGCTAGAACCCAGGCGGTTGATGGGCGGTACATCTTTGGAGAAGGTGCTGTCCCACCTAAGAAGTAGAGCAGGGAGGATGACTCGGGTGTGTTGAAAGGGGCAATTTCTCGATTCTGCAAGACTAATGTGTCAGAGACAAAAGAATGACTTAGGCGATGACCACCAACAGATTAGCACCTATACCCTAATCAAGCTCGGAGTTCAGCTCTGTATACTTAGACAATAGTTGCCAAGACCCAACTCTTATACCAACCGCCATGATACCCTTTGCTCTACTGCATCGGTTTTTCTTCGGCTCAAGCAGTCACAAGACATGGGGACATAGCCAAAAAGTGGTGCAAAGCTTACGACGAGCCATGTCCACAGCCCCGTGGGAGGTCGGATCCAGGCGCCGGGCTCGGTGAGCGTGACTGCCGGGGCGGCTGCAAAATCCGAGGCTGCGAGGTTGCCTCTTGCCCTGGTCGGAAATTGTCCGCTTGTTCCGTTGTATGAGAAAAATGAGTAGGTTACGGGCGTCGGGCAAGACAGGTATTAGTAACCCCAATAAAGAATGGCATGGACGGCACCAGTCCATCACCAGATGCTTTGAGCATTCTGGCCTCCTGGAGACGCGTCCTCAGACGTCCAGCGTCCGCTTGTCATCCAACTAAATAGAAACGCCGAAGACTCTATCACAGGAAAACCACGCACTGCGGCTTGCGAAAGGGTTGAACTCCACACCGAGAAAAGGGGCAGCGATTCACGTTCGTGACGTGGGTTCGGCCCAATGCCGCCGACACCGATGTGCAGATCCGATGAACAACGCAGGCGATTGAAACAATACGGAGCCAGAAAGCCAATTCCATTGGAGGCTTCTCCTGTCAGAACGGAATTTGTGGGCTCGAGTCTGAACTTCCTAGGTTTGCTGGATTGTGGGCGAACGCCGGACCGGCACTTGGGGGTGGGGGTTCCACGTGTCGGTACCGATGACCCAATGTGACCCAAAGTTGGTCAAACTAGAGATGGTATTTCGTGGTCTCATCTCTTCACATGTATAGGAAGCTTGTTTCTTCCCATTGGCTCTCAAAGTAGGGATCGAAGCTAAATGCTGTCTGCCCACTCTAATATAGTTGTTGCTATCAAGCTTGCAGGCTAGTATGCTAGGATCGTCACTGATTCTTCCGAGCCGAAGGACCTAGGAAGACAAGCCATAAAGAGGTCTCGGACTTTGCTATGACCCACTCATATAGTGACACATAAGGCGATCACTTGACAACCTTGAAGTGCTTTTGATCCAAGAGAATAACGACATCGGAAAGTGGCCTGAATTCCATTTGAACGCCCGACTAAACTCTTCCATGCAGACGACAACTATGGGGCCAAACGGTGGTAAATGTACGGAGTAAGTAGTTGTTATCTCCACTCAGTCTGCCTTCCACAGCCGGCCCTTGAGTTCTGTAATTCTTACGAACAACAAATATCTGGTCATGTTGAAAGGTTGCTAGAATTTAGGGAATGGCCGGAATCACTTAATATCAAATCGATGAGCTTTGCCTGAAATAGGAGATAAATTTAACTACAAAGACTTCATTCATAGATGACCAGAACCGACTACCCATGCTTACAAGTACGTCAGACAGTTTATTACTGAACGCAAAACCCCAGACACTGTACTTATATATCTTCGTACGCCGTCAAATGCTTCCGGTCCATTCAGTTCTCCCGGAATGTCTAGCTTGTTCAAATGCAGTATTTAGTTCTTCTCGTTGCTCATCAGTCAGCCTTGACCTGTGAAGGCCCAAGTCTCGATCTCGTAGCGTCCCTCCGCTCCGAGCAAGTAACACGGAGAGTTTCATTCTGTCAGCGCCCAGCAACGTCGTGACGAGGCAAATGTCTAGCGGCGATAACCCATCAACGTTCCGCAAGTTGGGATCCGCACCGTACTTCAGAAGGAGTGATAACGTCTTTGTATCCTTTGCGCCACCCTCAACCCTGAACCTTGAGTCGACATGATGGTGTAACGGCGTATTTCCGGCAGCATCCGTGATATTGGGGTCGACTTTCCTTTGGCAAAGGAGAAATTGCACTAGCTCTGCGTTATCGTATGCAGCTGCTTGATGAAGAGCATGAAGCTCCGCAGCTTCGTGTGTCGTCAATGAAGAGCCTGCGTCAACAAGAAGCCTCGCCATATCCACGGTCTTTTCGTGCGCTCGCATTCGACCGGTTCCTAGTAGGAAGTATAGGGCGTTAGCTCCGTGAGAGCTCACGGGGTTGTAGCCCATCGTCGTCTGCAGCGCCAGGCAGGGAAAGCTGGCGTTATATTCGTCGCAATAGTCCTCCACATACGGCAGCGAGCCATAGTTCCCTGCATCCAGTCCCGGCTGCACTACTGCCCTCTTGTTGGGGCCCGCGCCGGCTTTGTGGTTCAACAAAATTTCAAGGACATCTTCCCTTCCGCACAATGCCGCCCAGTGCAGTGCACTCATGTCGAGTCTCCGTGGCTCCCTCCACCAAACCTGGTACTCACAATGCTCACAATACCGAAAGCATTCGTTCGTCCATTGCAGCGGCATTGTGTGATCGTCCGCATCTGCATTTGCGCCGTTTTCCAACGCAAGCTTCAGGGCCCGGACGTTGCCCCTTTTCGCTGAGATTAGCAGAGCTGAAGAATGGTTCTGTTCCGCATCCCTCCGATAGAGCACAGGCGTGATAAGTTCGTAGAGTGCGCGGCACGAAGCTGCCAAGTTTGCAACGTCTCGCCAAACGTCAAAGCGAGGAAGCATGCAAAAGGGGCACATCTTTTCGGTCTCATATGGTAGACAAGATGACTCCCAATACTTTTCATAACCGAGAGAAACCTCTTTGGCGTACAAATCGAATAGTGCATCCACAATGCAGAGGATAATTTCAGAGGGCAGACGTCGTGTAATGCCGGGGGCATTCGGCTTAGCCAGCGCATGGTGATATCGGCGCTTTTCTTGTGCATCGCCGTACAGCGGCACATGGCTCCATACACATGGACATCCGAAGAGTGCCGGTACCTTTTCGTTGGCCGTGGCGGGAAAATCTAGTCTAAAGATCAGCTACGTTCCGACGATGCCGGTGGGCATGGTGAGGATTGCGCAGTTGGAGCTGACTTACGTGAGTGGGCCATTCTGAACTCAGGCACTACAAGCCAAGCATGGAATAAGTGTAAAGACGAGCGTTCTATAGCAATGATTTCTATTATATCGCAACTTAATGACGAACGTCGTGATAACGAGTGTGGTGATGAAGAAAATCAACGCTTACAGGAGTGAGAATAGAGAATTCTACCATCTCCTGAGCGGAAATGCCATCACCATCACCGAGAGTCATTGACGGAAATTTTTTCGTCTCAGTTGCCGACCCCTATTGCCAAATCTCCAGGGTACGCCTGCATGTCATTGCAGAAGCGTTGGGCAATTCTAGAAACCGTGTCATTTGGCTGTCAGAGTTCAAGGGACATTCCTTGTTCAGTGCGTGGTGCAATGCTGCTTACTCATAAACTTTCGAATCATTGCATGAACGGTCCGGAGCGAACTCGGAGGCAACGGTTAGTAACTGCAATTTCAAACACGACGATTGATTATATGTCGTCACTGAAGGGTCTCTTGGCCAAATTTCGGAAGAAATGATGAGCCACTCACCTTAGAATGAACAGCACGTAACGTTGGTTGCGTAACAGTTTATTGCTCAGAATCTATCGATTGCTTCGATGACAATATCACATCCACCACAGTTCTCAGCGATAGTTAAGGCCTCCAAGAACACATTTGATTTTAGAATTTAGATCGAATACTTCAAAAACCGCGCCAATTCGGGTGTCCAACTGCGCTTAGGGTCATCGAGGGCTAAGCCAAGTCCGTGTCCTCCCTCCGGGATGATGAGCACTTGCGTTGGCCGCTTGTAGACTGCCATGGCCTCCGCAAACATGAGCGTGTTCTGCACAGGAACAGTGGTGTCACTAAAAGTATGGAACAGGAAGGTTGGCGGGGTGGTCCCAGAGACACGATTCTGCGCTGACAGCTCGTGCTGCAACTCCGCGCTCGCATTGGCGCCAATGAGGTTGTCTCGCGAGCCTTTGTGCGTGTAGTTTCCCTCAAGGGTAATGACGGGGTACGCGAGGATGCCAAAATCAAGACCAGCCTCCGGGTTGGTGAGTGTTACGGCAGAGAGATGACCGCCTGCCGAGAAGCCCCAAATCCCGAGTTTGGTGGTGCGGTTCTGCGCTCTGATGTACTCGAGGGCGTCTAGTGCCTCATTTTGTGGTGTTGGATAGAGCGGTGCCGTTGCGTTTGAAATAGTAGTGTAGTCAAGAACCCAAGCATCAATGCCGAGCTTGTTCAGGAACCCCGCAGGAATGTAGCCCTCCTTTGATATGGACACGCGGGCATATCCGCCTCCGGGACAAACGAGAACTCCGGTACCAGTCGAATTCTCTGCCGGGAAGTATGTGATTTGCGATGTTTTGAGTCTACAGAATTTGTTAGAACGAAGTATTTATCAACGTGTGTTCCGATGTTCTTACCTCTTCACAACTCTTTGGGCATCGAGAAATCCATCGCTGTTGACCTCCGTCGACATTACGACTGCACCACTGAGGAGAAACCCACAGGCCAATGCTAAAACAGACTTCATATTTCTTAGCTGCGCCAAGGACAGTATATAATCAGGGATTGTGCGTCTTAGCTCACGTCTTACTACAATAATCGTTCAGCCCAGGAACGGCCACTAGATATATATCAACAACTACCCCGGGTACCCCGCGCAATGCGGTGTCGACGTTCATACCTACCGACCTATGAGCAGCTACTCCGGTTGTCCGGCCCCCATGTTTTGATTTGAATGCTGCACCTCGTCATATCAAAAACCGAAAGACTGTTACCTCACATGAACCTTGGTGAAATCCACCAATGGGAGCCTAGCACTAGTCTACTAGAGCACATCGTCACCGGCGCGCTAGAGGGTGCTTCTTAGAGTGGAATCTCTCGCGGTTATCCCATGTTAGAGTTGTGGGTCAAAAGCTGGGGTTCGCGCAAAGTAATAACGATTCGATAACTTCTTTACCAACACTTTTCGGCGCGCCTACCAAGCCCCAGGATGAGGTATTCATGAGGAGATGTCAAATGCTATCCACGCTAATGTCGAAATCACTAACAGGCGGCGACCTGTGAATTTTGCTCAATCGTTTAGAAGGAGCTTTAGACACCCTTTCGATTGTGATACCGATATTTGGGCATTATGTGACTAGAATGAGAGCCGTTATGCCCGCACTTCAATGACACATAAGATTCGGTGCGACTAGGTCTATGAGCCAGCTATGGTCTATGATCAAAACCTCGGTCTAAAAGCTCACGTCATTGACCAGGCGGCTGTGGACCACAGCATGTTTAGGAAATCTTGCTATGCTTGGTTATGTTGCTTTGAATACATCTTTGAGAAAGAGCAATGCTAATATGTCAAATCCCTTATGATAAATAACATGTGAAGAGAAAGTGGCGCTCAGGTACACATAATTACATGTACTTACTGATCAGTGCAAAGATCAAATGCCTCACTGGGACAGCAGGCCCAAGCCAGTGTGCAAGTCCCTAATCATACGCTTGTGAGGGGCCTCAGCCGCGCCACCTGTGGTAAGCACAGTTGCGTTTCTAATCATCTCGACCACCTTGAGGATGTCCTCTTGTGTAACAGCGTTCTCCTTCTTGACCCAGCCCAACTCAGCAGGAAGACGCTCGTTCTCTGCAAACCACATATTAGTCTACAATTGTCTCAAGGAGCTATGTTCGATGTGTCTCTTACGGAAGAAGTATTCGACCAGTGTCTTGTTGACGGTTCCGGCGGTCATATCGCCAAAAACAATGATGGGAGCAGCGACCTCGCCAAGACTGAAGTTCTCCACGGTTGCAGTGAAGGTGTAGTTGGGGTTGAAAGCTCTTGAGGTGACCTGTCGTGCCAACTTGCTGTTGGCAAGCTGTTGCGCATCAAGGGTATCCTTCGTCCAGTAGGCTCTCGACTCGTCGAAGATGGATTGGTTGAAGACATGATTGTTGCCAAAGGCAGCATCGGTGCGACTGTGGGCAAGGTGTTAGCGTAGTCCAAGTCTGGATATACTCGTCGCTCCTTAGCTCGAACAGGAAGAACCAAAGCCTGAATGAGTCGAGGCATTATTCTGCTTCAGACGGGCAGAGCTTAAACTTACCTCAAGCTAGCATCGTGCTCCAGGACATTGTGAACGTTAAGTTGGTCCCTGATACATGTTGAATTAGTGGTGCGTTGCGCCAAGACTTCAAAGGGGCTTCTTACAGAGTGAAGAATGTGGCATTGGGTTCTGGGTTGGCAATAAGGGCCATGTTAAACATCAGGGTTCCAAGATCGGTCCCGAAGTTGAGGCCGTCCTGAAGACCTTTCACAACAACGTCCTTCGTCAGGTTCTTGCCGTCGTGGGATATGAAGCCGTGGTTGGCCAAAGTGTTCATCATTGGGCATGGGCCACGGACTACATAATTAGCACTTGAAGCTTAGGTTTGGTTCATCAGGATAGTGTACTCACAATCATCAGGTCCAGCAGGAGTCCACTCAGTGGGGGAAGCTCTGCGGAAGTGAGGGCTGGCCAAGTGAGCAGCAGCCAGGTGAGGATTGGCTGAGGCCACGCCAAAAGCAGCGGTGATGAAGGTGAAAGACTGCTTCATTTTGAGTTGGTGAAGATTGGTGTCAGTTTGAGGAGCTAAGAAACGAATGAAAGATGAGATGATTGCTGTCTGTTGCCAATTTTCTTCCGACGAACCCTTCTCACGGTCTCATATTTATATTCAATAACGCCGAGAGCTCATTATACGTACATCTCCCGCCCCCTATATTCATTTCCGTTTTATCCAGAGGTGACCATACATCATGACGGCCAGCCCTCTCCTCACACCGGGGCTATGTCGTTTCCCCGTCCATTCGCCCCTGATTCAGAATCATGCCAACATATCGATGTCCGCAGATCGTCCCGTCCGAACATTTCGGTATCGCTCCAAACTCCCCATCTACAACTCCACGGGATATTTTGAGAGCCAATCAGAGATTGTATGATGACCATTTTGCATGGTTGTCTTTGCGGAGGTGGTGGGTGGCTACAGGCATAGGTGCATCTATTCCCAGTGAAACGCGGTGCCGCTCAGGCATTGCCGAGCCAGCCTATACGCGGAGACAGCTTTACGATACGTCATGGCGACCTACCACAGCGCACAACACCAAACATAAAGACGCTCAAATACGCGGAGTTTGGAAACGAACTACGAATTCTCAACAGAAATACAACGACACCGCCCATTTAGAGAGCTCAGTCGAGCGGTCAACCACGTTGCACGTCAAGGCCCGTCTGAAACAATCTGTTCCCGTCTACGGCATTACAGCCAAGCCAATGGCCGTAAGAAGCTTACACTAGAGATCACGGCTATGTAGGCCAAGCATCAATACGCCGTACGTATAGGGACAGCCAATCATAGCCCCCAAGTTTCAAACCCACTTCCACGTATTCACGTGGATCGACAAGACCCCCGTCCACCTTTAATGTTATTCTCCGGAAGTATCGACATACCGCCAAAGTCCGGTAACTCCCCTTCACTAAGAGGTTTCCACTGGACTTCATATGTCATTCAAAACAACGAAGAGGCTAAGCTTCTTAGCTAAAGCATCACATCGCCCCCAGCTTCCAGTACTTCAATCAATCTGCAGCCCTAAAGTATCGCGCGATCCTCATGAACCTGGATCCGGCAAGCATTCCGTCCCCAACCTCTGACGTCCTCGACAAGACCTCAACCCCGTGTTTGAACCATTCAACGCCCTCCGCCTCCCACGAGTGGCACCAAGAAGGCTAAGCCTAGTCCCTTCCATGAGCACTGATTCGCCGGCGTGTATCTCACGGGTACCGCATTCGAGGCCCGCCGACTTCATGCGGTTCGAAGCAAGGCTGAGTTAGGAGGGGCGGCGGACAGTTCTGAATCTTTCCCAAACTTCGGGCTCGGTTTCGGCGTCGGTTTCGGCGACTATCTCGGCCAACGGCCCCCGAGTGCGCCTTGATGCGGAGTTCTGCCGTCTCCTCGCGACGACAATAACAACGGACTACTCCGCCCCCCTTCCGTCCCG